TCTTATGCTATATATAACACTAATATTTTATCTATCAATATAATATATAAAATGTAATATAATATAATAATAATTATATAATATAATAATAATTATATAATATAATAATAATTATATAATATAATAATTATTATATATTATGTTGTAATTATATATATTATATTATAGTATGATATAATATATATAATTACAACATAATATATAATAATTATTATATATTATGTTGTAATTATATATATTATATTATAGTATGATATAATATATATAATTACAACATAATATATAATAATTATTATATATTATGTTGTAATTATATATATTATATTATAGTATGATATAATATATATAATTACAACATAATATATAATAATTATTATATATTATGTTGTAATTATATATATTATATTATAGTATGATATAATATATATAATTACAACATAATATATAATAATTATTATATATTATGTTGTAATTATATATATTATATTATAGTATGATATAATATATATAATTACAACATAATATATAATAATTATTATATATTATGTTGTAATTATATATATTATATTATAGTATGATATAATATATATAATTACAACATAATATATAATAATTATTATATATTATGTTGTAATTATATATATTATATTATACTCTATTATAATATATAACTACGATATAATATATTTTAATTATATTATAATATTGAAGGGTAATTATGAAAAAAAATAAAAAAGAACTTAGAATGACCATTCCTCCCATATGAGGAAGGAATGATGATTCACCCAAAATGGGTGAATGACCATTCCTTTTGAATGATCATTCATTTCTTATAAATACAACCAAACATCAAATTAGAATTCTATTTCATTCTATTCTATTCCATTCCTTTCCACCCACCCAAGGTAAATTCTCCATTTTTCTACTCTTTCTTAAAGTACATGGTTTGAATTTTTATTTTTTACTCTTGATTAATATCATTTTAACTAATATAATTATTTAATAAAAAAAATTAATCAAGAGTGATGGATAAAAGTTCAGATTCATATACTTTAATGGGCATTTGTTCTTTTTTCCATTGTATAGGAGGAAAACACAATTTATTTTTATTTATCAATAGAGTTAATTAATAATATAAATTGCCTCATAGTTTTTATTTTTTTTCACAAATTTTTGTTTGTTTAGAAACTATAAAGGCATACTTTGTATTTGTCAAACTTGTTTCGATTTCATTTCTCACACACAATTTCGACAACAAACAAGGGCAATTTTTTATTTGAAGAGAAAAAAATTAAAAAAAAAAGATATTTTAAACAATTTCAAATATGAGATTTTTTCTTTTGAAATTTTATGTTCTAATTTTGTGCTTTTTATGTTTTAATGTTTAAATATTATGAGAAACTATTTCATGGTATTTTTGTCTTTTCATCCTCAGAAATGAAATTGAAGCAAAAATTTTAAGAGATAAAAGCATTTTGGTACCCTCTTTTATAACAAAACATCTCATTAGTCCCATGTGTTTTTAATAATTTAAAATAATATATTCACCTTTAAAATGTTATTTTCATATATCAAATAGAAACTAATAACGTTAAAAATAATTTCTGAAAACATTTTAACTTATTATAAATTTTTATTAGTTTATTATTAATTAGTAAGAAAGGTAAAATAGACATTATAAATGTCCTAAAAATTAATTTTAAGGTATCAAAAGAATGTTTTTAAAAAAATAAATGTACCGTTTTAATATTATTAAAACACATGATACATGATACTAATAAGATGTTTCGTTATAAAATGGAGTATAATAGGATTTTATTCTAAATTTTAAATTTAAAGGATACCTCTGTAGTTTCTAAAAACAAATACATAAATTGAGGAAAAACTAAAACTTTTAATTAATATTTTGATTAAATTGAGGAAAAACTAAAACTTTTAATTAATATTTTGATTAAAGTACTGGACAAAAAGAAGAAACAAAGCAAAAGATTATCGAATTATGATTTTGTTTTATGTAAAACAAAAGTGTAGTAAGTTATAACCTTAGAAAATGAAACTAGAAATATGAAAATAACTTTCAATTATTTTTCATTTTCTTAAAAAAAAAACCATTCTCATAATTTTTTGCTTTCATTCTTGTTTTCAAAGTATTTGCTAATCAAACTATATTTAAAAACAATTTTCATTTTCATGAATTAAAAGATGCGTAGAAACATTTTTAAAAACAAATAAAATGCTACTAGATACGGCACCAAATTATTTATTATTATTATCATTATTATTATTATTATTATTATTGTTATTGTTATTATTGTTATTATTATTATTATCATTGTTATTATTATTATTATCATTGTTATTTTTATTATTGTTATTATTATTATTATTATTATTATTATTATTATTATTATTATTATTTTTATTTGTGTTCCTCATGGAGCATAGTTAATTTTCCGTGAACTTACTACAAAAGAGAAATTAAGGACTGGAGATATGGTGATGGAAGAAAAGTACACACGAGGAAAATAGCAAAAGAAATGGCCTTTTACTGTTAATTATTGTTGTGGTTTAAAACCTTAAACCTCACATGAGGCAATAACCAGCGCCACGTGACGCAATTAAAGCATACAATAATTGAGACATGAAGAAAAAAAAGACTACGATATGGAGACAAATGCTTTATTAGCCATAAGTAAAGACCGCTTCTCAAGAGATGAAGGCGATGAACCCATCCACGTCTAGACTGAAGTGATAATTGTACAAAGATTTGACGTGCATTAAATGCATGCAGAGTAAGTGGTGAAGGCGGTGGAGAAAATCAGGCAGACTGACTGAAATCTCGATGATCAAAGACTACTGTTCCGGAGTTTGGTGAAGATATCACGGGATTTGATTAAATAATTGATAAGTGACAGAGGCAATATCATGCATATATACAAGGAGAATGGCCTGAGAGGGGTCGGATTCTAGAACATCTCTCTCCCTAGAATTTGTAACTTCTCAAAAGAATAGAAAAACCCTTTCAGTGGATGTAACTCTATATTGAAGTGAACCACTATAAATTTCGGTGTTGTTATTCTTCTTTTTTTCTTTGAATCTCACCCTCAATCCGCTCACACATCACCAAAAAACTTATTATTAACCTATTGACTAATTTTCACCAAAGAAAATTTAAATTTTGAATGAACTTAGAATCTTTTCAATTTGATTAGAAAAGGACATTAAGTGATAGGAGAAGGCATAAATCTGTCTAGTGTTCAAACTCGTCTCATCGAACAATTCCACATAAACGGGGTTTCTCAGGTTTTAGATTTAGAAAGAAAACTAGGATTGAGAGAAAATGGCGTAACCGACCTTCATTGAGTGAACAAGGTAAAATATATACATCTTACACGATTGAATCAAAATAAGAAATGAATAATTATCCTATTACTAATTTCCTAAAATACAAGATTTATACACAAATAGAATATTGACAACGCAAGAATAGGTAATATACAGCAAGGAAACAGTTGACTATGAAATTGCCTTAATACGTATTATATATGAAGCTTACTTCCAAAACAAAAATGCCATTTTATTTTTTGCGTTTTTGGATGTTTAGTCCTGAACTATTAACAATAATAACAATGTACGTGATAATTCAGCCCCTAATTAATTTTCTTTTAGCATATATACCAGTCACTTGGCATCATTATTATTATTTTTATTTTACAGTTTTGGTCCGCAACTCTACAATGGACAATGAACTTTTGAATTTTAATGAAAATAATCATGCGATAACTTTAACTTTCTGATATTCAAGAGTTTACAAGGGCAGAGATTAGAATATAATTATGAGCTTAATATAACTACTTCTGAAAAATTCAGGTTATTACCACATGATAAACATGTGATTAGCTGCGTTAACTTTCAAAAAGTCATTTGTCAATTTAGACGTAGATAAAAAAAAATAAAAAAGAAAAGGAACTGGCTAATCACTAATTTGAACATAAATTAGAGAATAAATCCCCACAATACTAACAATCTAAGGAATAATAGCGTTAAACCCCCTATTTCTTCAGCTAAATTTTACTATATATAGTGCAAGAAACTAGGATCAACGTTTACTGTTGAAATAACATAAGCTACAACTGTTAGCTATATGCAAGTTTGCTTCTAAAAACTTATGGCTAAAGACAGACTACTTTAATTGTAAGAAAATAAATTAACAGAAGAATTAGAAAGATAATACATATATCCTTAGAATATACTGAAACTTCATTAGAACCTCCCCACCACCCAAAGGAAAACAAAAAAAACAAAAACAAAAACAAAGACCGGACTTTCTGATATTTCCAAAATTTTCTCGACCGAATATCATTGCAAAAACAAACAGATGATATGTAGCATTAATATAGATAGCTAGCATTTCAGCATATATATATATATATATGTATGTATCTATCTATATATATATATGCAAAAGTGAAGAGACAAGCATCGTTAGCAGTAAGCATCTTTGCTTGCTGGACCACTTCCATATATTTTTCATAATTAACTCACGTAGAGACAATATAATCTGCCTATTTTAGACCTGGAAAGACATAGCTAAGTTTAAATATCACATTTTGATGATTCGAACTATAATATGCAAGAATTGATTAATATATAACTTTGAAAAAATTTCATTCTCTTTTCCCCCACCTCCAATTCTTTATCCCTCTCTTAATTACATACAGCGTAACAGAAGGTAAAAGATGACAACTAACTTAAAAGTCTCTCTTATTAGTATTATCAGAGACTTAATCCAAAGTAGATAATAAATGATCCAAAGATTCAAAAAAAAAAAAAAAAAACCCAGAGAGAGATAGAAAAGGAAAGGAAAAAAAAAATCTCAACTTGTAATTGATCGATTTAACTAATTAAACTTCATGCATGTCATTATTATTATTTTTTGCTTAATTATTCAGCAAAAATATAAAGTCATGATTATTTTTTGCTTGATACATATAATGTTTTTAACACTGTGAAGCACTGAAAGAAGGAGCTACAACAACAGAAGAATAGACCTTAGAACTACCAAGTGAAAGTGTACAAAGCTTATTCCTTTGACCATCATCATCAACCCCATCTTCATTGCTCGAAGAACAAACTATAGTCTCTTCAACAATTGCATCAAAACTAACCGAATCAAATTCTTCCCCCATATTTCGATCTCTCCACCGATTAATATCAATCGCGGAACCAAGAGACGACGACGACAAATTAGACCTCGCCTTGTTCTTCATTAGAGCATGCTTAAGAACCTGGCAAAGCCTTGGATTCTTTCCCAATATGCTGCAATTTTCTTCATGAGAATTCAAAAATCCTTGATTTGGGAAATTGGTCTTTGCATTTCTCCCTCTCAAGAGCCTAGCAGCCTTGTCATAAGCCAAAGCGGCGTCCTCTGGCGTGTCGAAAGTGCCTAACCAAAGCCTCAGCTTCTGCGACGAGTCCTTGATTTCAGCAACCCATCTTCCTGATGGCCGCTGTCTTACTCCTAGGAACCTTCTAATATTTCCCTTATTGATCTTCATGACTCTTTTTCCCTCCCCATTTTCATGGATAAATTTTTCTGCTCCATTAATATTGATTGTTGAGGAGTGTTTCGTGATTTGGTTTTGTGAATGATCAGAAGGGATTTTTGAGCTCTCCAAGTTGTCCATGGTAGAAGGAGCTGAATAGGGTTAGTTTAGCTTAGAGAGGAGGGAACACCATGATGCTATATATTACACTTGTACTTATATATATATATATATATATATATTAGAATGATGGTTAAAAGAATGATGCATACATCAAGAATGACATGTTGGTTATTGTCTTGGCTTGTTTTTGTATCTTTGTGAAGGAATAACATATAACTGAATGATACATATCAGAATAGTATATATATGTGAGTACATTCAGAATAATATTGATAGAAAAACATGTAGGTTCTTCTCATCATGATATATATGGGCCTAGCTATAAGCTATAGGGATAGAAAATTTGGCAAAGGAACATTTGATTAGGGTTAAAAAGATAATGTCAATAGAGTGCTTGTTGATTAAATTGGTAGCTTTATCATTGACCATAGTTTGGAGGGGCGTGGACGGAATGGTATGTTATTTTGCAAATCATGATCAAGATTTTTTGAAAGTATGGTTATCTTTTTGTACTTGGTTTGACACCCTAGAGAAGATTGTTTTAACTCTTTTATTTCTTCCTTTTTATCTAATTTTTTTGTCAGACAGCAGCCTTAAAGTGTAAAGACAACACTGAAAGAAACAAATTTGGCACATCGAACAATGATGAGTGTGGTTTAGAATTTAGTGATATTTCTTAAGCGAAATTTGATCTAGTCCAAGATGCCTTTTGAGAATGACTCTGTTGCTTATAAAATCTTATAAGGTAGGAGTCGTTTCCTAGCTTTTGAAATTGATTCCTTTCTTTGCCCTAGAGTGTTTTTTAAGCACTTGTTCGTTTAAAAAATAGTATAATAAAATAAGAATAGTGCCAAATACAAAACAAATATTACTTTTCACAATCCTTTCTATAAAGGGTTTCAAAATAAATCAAAAGAACAAAGTTTGAAAATTCATGAAAACAATCCTCAGCGATTAATGAACAATTTGACCAACTCTGCAAATAAGCTATTATTTCTTGATATATTGAAGTTAGTGTAAAGGTAAAATAAATTCGAGTTTCACACCATTTAAATGTAAATACAAATCATTTAAATGTAAATACAAACACAAAATTTATAATGATATTAGATCACCCCACTTAACAGGTTGACTTAAGTACAAACAAAATTACTTTTTGAAATTCTTTCTACCAAGGGTTTCAAAATAAATGAAAAGAACAAGTTTGAAAATTCATGAAATTACAATCTAGTGCTTGAGGAAGTAATTTAAAGGGAAAAATAAACCCAAATATCGTATCATCTAACTATAATTAGATCACTCCACCTAATAACAATATTTTTAAGATGGAAGTGTTAGATCTTAAAAAGTCTAATTTCCGCATTTCAAACCTGTAAACTTGTTATGTTATGTCTAAGGATATTAGGAGAGAAATTCAATATGAGGTACTCCAATGCATAGAGGCTCTTAGAAAATCAAGGACTATCAATATAAAAAAAAAAAAAAAGAGATTGAAAATAAAGTAACTTCATCAAGTTGAATAGTTGAATTTTATCTGGCAAAAGATTTAACATCATAATCATGGTTGTGCATGCTACTCTATCTCTCTCTTTCTCTCACACACACATGAAGAGGCAAATGCAGACAAAATGAACGATGTATAAAATGCGTCCAAAGTAGAAAACGCAAGCATTCTAGGGTAGATGAGTAAATAAGATATTGCATAATAGCCCGCCAAGAGTGATGATCCCACAAGGAATATTAGCTGAAGTTTCTGCAGAAAAGTCCACAGAGAGAGAGAGAGAGAGAGAGAGAGAGAGAGAGAGAGAGAGAGAGAGAGATGTTTTATTTTGCAATATAATGCAGTATTAATTAAATATATCCATCATTAGCATAGTTAATACCACTGGTGATATAACTCCAACAGCTTCAAAACAAACTCCCACCTCAAAAGCCTAAACACAAACAGATACCTCATGTTTTCTTTCTAACTTGAGACCTACTCACCTCAACCACTGCATGACTGATCTGTACTACTTCAGATTAATTCTTTTTTTTTTATTGGTACTAAAGAATTCAAGAAAATATTTGGCAATTGTCACATAGTGGATGTCCCTTATTGTCCTTCAGAACATGCTCTCCATATACTTTGGCCTGGCTTCTTTTTCAAACTAATTTTTAATATATATATATACATATATATATATATATGTATATATACATATATAATAGCTGGGCATATTTAGCTAATCTTCTTTTGTACTGAGAATCATGATCAGAACTTCTTGGTTGTTTTTGTTGGATTTTTCATGGACGTACTTTATGGTGGTTGCTCTTCAATATTACTATTATAGATGTTCAACCTTAGTTTAACTTTAGTCCTAGAATCATCCATATTGTATCCATTAATAGCTCCCTTTGTTGGATTTTTCATGCAACTTTGACTAATATCTTTACCTCTTATAATGTATAAAATTTCTTTGAGTTCTTTTGATATGATACCTCCTTGGAGACCACATTGCTAAACTTAACTATTTGTACCTTTATAATATCTAGTTTATATGTATATGATTCCGTATTATGCTGCCCGTTATATATAATGCATGTCATTTTTGAGCATGAAATAATTACCGTTTTCACTAAAAACCAGTTCTCTCTTACTATTACTTCTACTTTCAGATCGATATATAGATCTTAGTTTGCTTCTCGAATATTTCATGTCATGATCCAAACTATATATATATATATGCATATATATATATATATATATATGCATATATATCCACTAATAGCTCCACTGTGTTGGATTCTCATGCAGACGTTGACGGACCTTTAATTGTACTTCTACTTGAGTTTTCTAACTTTGATATATGTGTACATACATACATATATACATGCACGCATGCATGTATGTATATTCCATTTGTGTGTAACTACAAGAAAAGTTGAAATAATTAATTGCCCTTATGTCAAAAATTTGTAGCTAAAAAAATTAGCTACAAAATTTTGCTTTCTAATTAACTCGTAGCTAGTCGACATTAAAAGTGTCTAGCTATAAGTTTTTTTTTATGTTTGTAGCTAAATATAATACTATAACCTATAAAAGTACTTTTGTAGCTAAATATGATATTTTTAGTAACAATATTTTTTTTTTTGTCACAAAAGATTATTGATTTTGATTTTGTAGCTAAAGCAACAATTTCTTGCAGTAATGGTAGAGAGATATATCTTAATAAATAATTACTTAGCCAGTGTATATATAACTACCTTTTCCAATAGTTTGATAAAACAGACAAACATGCAATTCCTGTGAAAGAGATGGAGGGATCTTGGGACGATTTGGTGGGACTTGATAATTTGCAAAAAGCCGAGTAATGATTTTGAAAAGGAAATTAATGTCCATGCTCTTTGTGCTCGAAGTGGATGGAAATTCTGATTGCTAAAATAGTTAAATGCTCATTATGAATTTTAACGGGATTCATCATTACGTATTCAATTGTTGATTAAGTTGATTTTTCTCTTTGGACTTTGCCATTAAAGGGTTTAATTAGGTATCTTTCAACTACTTTTGAGTGTAGGAGTAGATCTCTTTTAACTTGATAAATTTCTTTTATTTTTATGTTTACTTTTCTTTGAGTTTGTTATTTTGACTGCAGCAGTACTTAATCCCAACTTGTGTTCAAGAGTTCAATGATAGAAATCTCTTTTATTTTGTTGTTTGATCTTGGACTTGTCAGTTAGTCATATATATGTTGCAATTTTATCAATTTAATTAATTTTGACAACAATTTAAAATGTAAAGACAAAATAGAAATAACGCCACCAAACGCATTTTCAAACTACTTTTTTTTTCTTTTTATTTAGAAAAAAAAGTTTAAAAGAGTGATATCAAACAGTCCCTTTGTTTGCTAATTCTAAAATATTTTATGTCCCATTTTATACGTTGCGTTTCCTGTGCGTTTGTTTCATTAAAATAGAATTAGTTAATTTCCTTCCTGTCAATTTAGAAAGTTGGAATAGATAATTAGGAAATAGAAATTGAACCATATGCATGGAGAGATCATTGCATTATTTAGACCTAGCGAATCAATTAACTTTTGCATATTGAATTCTTTGTACAACTAATAAAGAGAGATATAGCATAATCGGTAGAGTGATTAGTAAATTATAATATATTTTTAAAAATTTATAGATAATAGCATAATTTAAAATTTTAAGTTTTAAATATTATTAAAAACCTAAAAATACCCTTAAACCACTATTTTCACCTCATTCCTCCCCCTAAACATCTATTTTATTTTTAAAATAGTAAATTATAGCATATATTTTTTTAAAATAGGTAGATTATAGTCAAGTCCACCATGGTCGGGATCGGCGACCGGTAGACAGAGCTTCCAACGACCGGTAACTATTTTCCAGTGACCATTTAACATTGTATTTACAGGTAAATACCGTATTTAACAATAAATGTTGTATTTACTAATAAATATCATATTTACCAGAAAATTAGGAGTCCATTTTTTCGGCGACCGTTTAACACTATATTTACCGATAATATTGTATTTACTAGTAAATATCATGTTTACCCAAAAATTCGGCCGTCGACTCCAGTGAATGTGTAACATTATATTTACCGGTAAATACCGTATTTACTATTAAATAATATTTACTAAATATCATATTTAACCGAAAATCCAGCCACTGACTTCGGCAACAGTTTTACATTGTATTTACCATTAAATACCGTATTTACTAATAAATATTAAATTTATCTAAAAATCCGACCACCGACTCTGGTGACCGTTTAACACTATAATTACTGGTAAATACCATATTTTTCAATAAATATCATATTTACGAGTAAATAGCATATTTATTTGAAAATTAAGACACCGATTCCGACAATTGTTTAACACTATATTTATTAGTAAATACTGTAATTACTGCAAAGGAAAATCTACATTGATCGAAATCATATAAAATACATCAAATGAGCATACTTTAGTTATTTCATCATTTTGTTTCTAAAAGACCAGAAA